TATATAGAAAATCATCCCGTCCCGTCTCGATTCAATGTAAACACTTAGCAACTTCATTCTTTCACGGATTTTGGTCAAACTTTATACATAGGTCAAATATGGGTATACCCTTGTGTTTCAGGGTTCCAAGGTCAGGCCAATGTCACTGTTGCTATATATAGAATCAACAACTGATTCAATTTAAACACTTAACAACTTCATTCGTTCATGGATTTTGGTCAAACTTTATGCAAAGGTATACTTCGGACATTGTTGTGTTTCAGGGTTCCAAGGTCAAGGCAAAGGTCACTGTTGCTATATATAGAAAATCATCGACTGATTCAATTTAAACACTTAGCAACTTCATCCAATATGTTATGGAGATAGTAATAACATACAGAAGAAACATATGAATATTAAAGTCAACTGATCAACTTTAAGTGTAGAACCTTGTGTGTGTGCATACATGGACTTTATGCAGTGTAATAAAATGTTTGCTAAACCTTTTGGATAGCTTTTCAGCCTTTGATATCAAAGGTCAAGGTCACTTATTATAAATAAAACATCAGTTTGTGCACTGTATTTCGAATTCTGTTGGACTGATTACACTCAGATTTTATCTAGTCCTTCCTGGAAGAACGTGCCTGCTTGGGATAACTTTTCAGGTCCAGTGGTCAAAGGTCAATGGGTCACTAAAATAGAAAAACTGTTTAATGCACTAATGCACAATATCTTGATTTCTCTTCGGCTGATTACACTCTTGACTTTATACAGTGCTTTCTCAAAGAAGTGCCTGCTTGGGATAACTTTCCAAGCCCGGGTGTTAGGTCTCTATCACTGTTACTATATGAATAGAGAATCAGTTTATAAAATGCACTACTTATATTTTGAGTTCTGTTGGGCTGATTACACTCAAGACTTTATCCATTGCTTTTTATAAAAAAACAAACACTTGCTTTCACTAGTGTTTGCTACATGTATACCTAACCACAGTTTCTTTTAAATCTTCAATAAACATAATTATGGAGAATAGTCACGGCGGCATTTAATATATATATATATATAAATCTTATTACCGGTTAGCTTGTAATAATAATAATATTAATTATAATTTTACCTATCGGACACTCCTATACGCAACTTCATCAGGGACATTCCAACTGCCTGTCGTGGTGTGCGCGATTTGGATTTCTTCATTGACTTCACTATGGAACATATGTCATCAAACTGCTCTCTATTCAACCCAGTTGTATACTGTAATTGATCATCTGTCATATTCATGTTGTCAAAATCAATTTTGTTGGTGTTTACCGCAACATTACGGAGTCCAGTAAGAAGAACGGTTAATTCATCTGTGGTCACCTTTGAATTAGATTTCAATGCCGTCATATCTACTGTTACCCCCTGTTTAAGTTTTTGGCAATGTAGGTGTGACTTGCAGCATCGTGTTCCCTGGGGAATCAAAACGCCATGACTGACAAAGACCTACAAACTTGCCTCTGACGGAACATTTGTCATGCCATTACCCGTTTTCTTGCAAAACACACATCTTGATTTGGTTCCTCGTGCACCTTGGAATGGCAAAATTGCATATGATTTTGGAACTGGATGTCTTACATGTGTATAGCACTCCTTATTTTGTGTTGCAGTCTTCCTACATTTTAAGCATATGAGGCTGTCCACGCTGATAAGTTTTCCCGCATTTTCGGTAAAATATTTCCGATAACAACAATTCATTTTTCTTGCTTGGCCTTTTTTTTATTCTGACGCAACAAATCCCACATATTTGGTATCTCGGCATTATTTGTTGGTGTTTGATCACTAGATATAATTAGTTTGCCAGTTGTGGGGTCAAACAGTTCATAAATTTCATCAAAATTGTGTCTTACCTACAAAGCGTAGCTGTACTGTACACGTGTACAGGGATTTGTTGACATGCTTCGATAGAACTAAATAGTAACGAAATTATTACTAACAAAACTTATAAATTAATAGGTATGTTATTAAAAAATAAACAAAATTTTCCATCGATTTGAAAAACAAAATTTTGCTTTATTAAGGAAAATTATCACAGGCCTAACTATTTAAAAAAAAAAAAAAAAAAAAAAAAAAATACTGAGGGAGGATTCGAACCTGCACCGTTTATTTTTAAAGTCACAAGTAAACTGCGTTACACATGTAGATATTCGCAATTACAAACTGATTTAACCCGAGAAACACCTGTCGCAGTTTAGAGAAACTTGATCAACTCTGTTTTTCATTATTTGAGCACTTTCCCAAAGGAGGACCACTTTTCCGTAATACGATTTGTTTTTGCATATTACATCACGGTCACAAAAAGTTTATTCAAAAGTTGGTCCTCGGATGGAAAAGTGTTGAAAGTATAAGTCCGGGAAACCCCATCACTTTCATAGATATAGTGTATATGGCTATATTTGCAGTATCATACTAGCAATACCTAATTTCTCAGCAGTTTAAAAAAATCATATTCAATTGGTTCTATATCTTTTGTATGCATTTTTGATACACGAAATGTTTTATTCCTTTGTTTGTTTTCCCGTTTTCATAAATGCCGACTTAGGGAAATACGGGCAGTTTTCCGCCATACCTCTTTACGATCCGACGTTGATCTGTCTTTGTTTGTGGAGGCATGGCAGTCTAATGGTAGGACGCCGGGCTTGTGACCGAAGGGTTGCGGGTTCGAGTCACGGCACGGCACTGTGTTGTATCTTTGAGCAAGATATTTTACTCCGCTTGTTCCAGGCTACTCAGTTGTAAATGAGTACGTGGTTGGGCAGTGCTAGAATTGTTGAATGCTAGCTGTTAGCGCCAAAATGGCAGCCCCATGGAGTTTAAAATGTATTGGCTGGTTGCAAAGGCCCTATAACCGTGGACAATAATTTGTGAACCACTTTGAGACCACCTAAGAACTAGATTGTGATACAGCGGTATATAAGAACCTCGAATTATTATTATTATTATTTGCATCATAACACCTACAGTTTTTTTTTTTATTAGAACCACATAACAATAAACAAACTCGCCTGGTATGATGGAGTGCCACATACTATATAGGACAATTGACCCCTTACTTGCAGAGCTATGGTCCTTTGTACAGATCATAAGCTCCTATAACTTTGGGGCAGAATCCTACATACATCATGACCGGACGAAAAGTTACCTACATAACCTAAGGCTTGAAGCACGAAATTGAGGGTCCGTGATCCCTTACTAATAGTTATGGCTATTTGTCTATTTTCTTTCTTGCACGCCACAACTCAGACAGTTGAAGACTTTAGGTCACGTCATAAAACAGTACATACCTTGCAAACACTAGTTATAGTCTGGATGTAAGCAGCTTCTCATCTGGAAGGTTAATCATTAGTGTTGATCATTAGTGTTGATTCTAAAATTTAACAAGAGGCCCATAGAGCCTGCATCGCTCACCTTGATAATAAAGCAACTATGGGATTTTTTATATTACATAAAATACTTCCAATGGTTCAGAAGAAAAAGGATTTTAAAGATTTAAACCTCAAATTCCCCTATTGGGCCCCGCAACTCTGCACCCAGAGACATCCTTCGTTTATAAAAATATTAGTCCCCTTTGCTTAAGGATACTCCAGGTCAAATGTGGATAAAATCCCTCCAATGGTACAGAAGGAGAAGGATTTTAAAGATTTAAACCTCTAGTTACCCTTTTGAGCCCCACCCCTCTGCACCCGAAAGGGCCACACCCATCGTTTATACAAAATTGAGTCATCTTAGTCCAAGGCTGTTCAAGAACAAATAAGGAGAAGAATGTCAACGGATTTACCTCTATTTCCCCTATTTGGATCCACCCCTCTGTCCCCAGGGGGCCACACCTACAATCTATACATAAGTTAGTCTCCTTGGCCCAAGAATAGTCCAGACTAAATTAGGATAAAATCCCTTTGTCCCTACGGTAGAAGAAGGCATTTCAAGAATTTACCTTTATTTTCCCTACATTGTATTGGGCCAACCCCTCTTCCCCCAGGGGAGCCACACAAACCGTTTATATAAAATTAAGTCCCCATGCAAGAAGGATGCTCTAGAACTAGGCACACCCACTATTTATACAAAATGTAATCCCCTTGACCAACAGATGCTCTAGACTTAATTTCGATAAAATCCCTTTATCCCTACAGTAGAAGAAGGATTTGAAAGGTTTTACCTTTATTTCCCCCATTGGGCCCCGCTTTCTGCCTCCAGAAAGGGCCACAACCACTGTTTATACAAATTTGAATGCCCTTGGACTAAGGGTGCTCCAGACCAAATTTGGTCAAAATCTACTGGTTGCTTCAGGACAAGGAGTGTTTTAAAGGAACAGTTGACGGACGGACGTTGGATGACAGACGCCACGCCATATACTAAGCTCACCTGGTCCGAAGGGGCAGCGTCTGTCGTCCGTCGTTTCCTAAAAAGAAGATGCATAGCCCTCTGTAGATGAATGGGGAAAGCGGGGATGGCAAAAATTGGCTAGAATTTGGAAATGTTGATATCCCCACCCTAAAGCTAATGATATTTGAATTGAAGAGTCGCCTTTGAAATACGACGCTAAAAAAATAAAATGTATACCTAGAGGCAAAAAGACTGTACCAGAGCTAGGTGTTTAGTTACAGAGCTACATATTTAGGTTTTTCTGTCTTCTACAGTTTGCACACAGAAGTGAGCCAGGGCGAGCAGTCTCATTCCTCCCCGGAGAAAATAGCAGGTATGACGAATTGTATCCTTAAAGCCAAGGACAGTGCAGTATGCTATGGTGGCATATTTCTGCCATCCACTTGCGACTTACGAGTTACGTATGTCGACATAATTATTGAAAGATGTCGACATAATCTGAGAATATGTCGACATAATCTGAGAAGATGTCGACATAACTTTTAAATTATGTCGACATATTATCACATTTGCCGAGATAATTTTGCCGAGATAATTATCTCGTAAGTGGGTAACTCGGCTTTTTATCGTGTTAATGCTCGGGTGTGACATCGACTTGCCACTTACGACTTGCCACTTACGACTTATTTATGTCGACATCCTAGTAGATTATTGCCGACTTACCAAAACGAGGCTTGTGCACGAGGACCGCGAAGGTGGGCTGATGGTGACTGAACAGTGGTGACTATACTGGTGAGTAACTTGGTAAAATCAATGTAAATATGGGAAATCAAAGATATGGATATTACAGTAGGTTACTATGATGTACAGAGTTTATCAATCAAAGAGGGATTTTACATAAATAAGTCGTAAGTGGCAAGTCGTAAGTCGATGTCACACCCGAGCATTAACACGATAAAAAGCCGAGTTACCCACTTACGAGATAATTATCTCGGCAAAATTATCTCGGCAAATGTGATAATATGTCGACATAATTTAAAAGTTATGTCGACATCTTCTCAGATTATGTCGACATATTCTCAGATTATGTCGACATCTTTCAATAATTATGTCGACATACGTAACTCGTAAGTCGCAAGTGGATGGCAGAAATATGCCACCATAGTGCAGAGTTAACAGCAATGATGTGTTTTTTTTCAAAATGATAACTCAGGCCGTTAATTATATATATAATAGCAAATAAGATGTGCCGTATACAACTGTACTTGTTTGAAACATAACTGTATACATCCATGTGTTTAACGACATAACTGTTAACAGTATAGTTGGAGTAGTTGGTGTTGGATGTCGATGTTGAAGCCGGTAGCTGTTTCAGACGTGTATAACGGCACGATTTTTCACCTGGTGAAAAATCGTGCTACGGATGAGAACCCGTGGCATAACAGACGTGTACTAACTGATTTCGGAGAAAGCGAGCGCAGATTTTATTCTATTTTTTCTAATGTTTACGATATAATGCATGTTTAATCGATGACTAAACTTTTGCAAATTCATAATATTTACATTTGCATGGCATTGTCACTATTTAGCCTCTTTGAAAGCTGTGTCGTTGATGGGACTTTAATTACCATGCATCACGAGACACAATTCTTAGCGTATTAATACAACACTGACCGGAACTACAATATCCAATAAAAATAAACATGACGACTGCTGAAATATCGTGGGGCATTGTGAGATTTGACAATGTCATTGTAAATTTATGTGCAAAATAAAAAATAAAATAAAAAACACTTTTATTACAACGAAAACAAGAACAAGGTCTGCAATATCGTACAAAATGCACATCGGTTGAAATCAACAATGCCGGCAATGGAAACAATTTTAACGCTCATGCAATTTATCAGAAATATCGTCTGTTACACTGCACTGATCAACAGGGGTTCGTTACAAATGTCTGAAATACACATATTCTATAGACCTACTGACACATATGTTACAGCCCTACTGATATGAGTCACAGCACACATAAACATTTCAGACATGTGTAACGAACCTGTGCTCCGTCGCAAGATCACTCACTTCAAACGCTATCAGTTTCACGCGTCTCGCATCCACGGTTCCTCATTTTCTGACGACATGTCAAATAACGATGCTGTTATAGAATCTACCGACTGCTGTCAGATTCCCATACAATCAACAAATACATTCACGCCTGGATTCTTCACAAAATGAGCAAAGAGAAAAGTTCGAATTAACTTTCATAAAATAACTCCCTCGTGGAGGACAAGGTCGGATTTACGGTGTTCACTGTATTTGTCCATGCGCGAAATTTGTTCCGGGGAAAAATCGAAACAATTTCAAATCTAACTTTCAGCTCAGAGTTCTATTGATAAACTTAAATCACCCTATAAACATATCATACGCAATGGTATTGATACTGGATTGTGGAATAAAATTGAAGTGTTTGTTAAAATTTCTGACAGATACTAGGTTGACTGTCGTCTCTTTTCATAGGTATCGTTGTCGGAGCTGTTTGTTCTGTCATTACCGTAGTTGTCATGGTGGCAGCAGCATTCTACTTTAAAAGAAGGTAAGAAGTATCATTATGATCATGGTTGACATAAATCGCCTCCGTTTGCAGTCTGCATCGAACACAGAATACTGATCGCACTTTGCATATTACCCTTTGTACTGTATGTATGCATGAATGTATGTATGTTAGTATGTATGAATGTAATTTATATTTAACAATGGGTATATGACTTTCACTAATATTTACCCATGAATTATTGTATGAGTATACGACTTTGACTAGCACACGTAGTTAACCATCAATGTACATGTATGAATGGTATATGTCTTTGACAAATATTTAACCATGAATGTATAAATGGGTATATAAGTTTGACTAATATTTAACCGTTTGTATCGGTAAACATTGTATATATTTGACTAATAAGCGTCGATTTCACAAATTGTTATAAAAGTACAAATCGTGAAACAAACGCTAAACTGAGTACATGTTTTCACTAACTGATAGCTCTTTTATTCTTCTTTCGCACTCTTTTGGTGACCTCAGACAAAGGAGACAGTCCGTCGTTGAAAACATTAAGGTGAACTACGAGAGTGAAAAGTTTGAGGATATAACCGACATCGACTCTGACGTCATCACCCTTACTGGCTCACATTATGAGAAGCTCCAGAGCGCAAACTCCAGTGAAAGCCAGTACACCATGATCGTTCGGGGGGCGGGCAACGGTCAGGTTACGGAGGAACAAGTAACGTCTATTGAGGACGACTCCTCATATGTACTCCCAAACGAATTTTGTGCTGTTCCCGGCCTCCGAGTTAAAGACAATTGTATGACAAACAGTTACGAAAACACAATGTTTTCCCTGGATATTAAAGATGATTTCCTACCAATACAGGACGAAAATGATTATATTAAACTTTCTCAGGGCGATTTTAAAGGTGTTTAGGTATCGTAGAATATTTCCCAATGTACTAAACGTTAAGTGAATATAACATCACATGTAGTTTCGCTTGACTATTTTGTTCATCATACTTCTTAAGTTTCAAAGTCCTATACAATCAGACACCGTTAAATACTGATAAACAGTAACACACAAGAGGATGCAAAAAAGCATTGCGGAAAAAAGTGTTCACGAAATACTGCTAAATATTGTACAAAGCGGCATGATCACTACGAATACAAATGATATTCAAATCTTAAAAAAGTACATCGTTAGATTGGTTGTAAGCAAAATAAACACTTTAATTCAGTTTGATTGTGAAGTCGTTTTGATAAATTATGAATTTGAATGCAAAGTAAATACAAACACAATTAAAAGCGGACAGACCTACCGGACAGAAGTTAACAAAACAAGTTTTAAAGTCAGATTCGATACGACACTGAAATCGATGTCTTCTTTACTTTCATGCGTCTGATCGATTGCACTAAGCATATCGACATATCGGAATACAACATGTTTGAATGCTAAACGTAAATCCGTGTATATAGAACAACTTGTTCAGGTGTGAAATTCACATTCAAACAAATCTAGCCTATCAAAGCGACTTTTAACAACACAAACAAAAATCACTTCAATCTCGAAATTACCACTTAATGATTTAAACATATCGGGTTAATCCCCCGCCATCTTTGTAACACGTTTATAAACCAAGCACATATATGGATATGCTGTTAAAAAGGAAAACATTACTATTTCATACTAGAGACGATGTCTTCATTCATTTCAATGACAAATATGGAAAGATATGAACACATTCAAGACTATTGATCGCGTAATTGTTTCTTTCAGTCACTGGATGTGATATGTAACCTCCATTATGTTATGACTTTACCACATACAGGAAATGACGCACATGTGGATTATTTAGTTAGGCACTTTTTAGGGTAGGGTGAGGGTACCCAAAATGGAACGGTACCAAAAATGGAACACTTTTTATATATATGATGCAGCATTTTTTATTTTGCAATAAAATGAATAGTATGTTTTCACAATCAATTATTATACAGTTTTATTCATCTTGAACAAATTTCATCTGCCTACCTTTTAAATATTGTTCATAAAGCCAATTGAATTATTGGAAAAACAAAATGAAAAAGAATCCGGGAAAAGGTACGGTACGACAACATAAATGTCCTATCATATTTCTTAACAAGGACAACTATATGTTCAAATGTTTAAAAGTTCTAAGTCTATCTGTTTCACTTCAATGAGCTCTATAAATAGACACATGCATCCTTTGAATGTCGTCTTGCAGAAAATATTAACATTGAGCAAAGAAGGATATTTAAATCTAGGATACAGATCAATGTGGCGATTAATGAATTTATTGATTGGAATTGAAAAATGACAACATTAGTATTCGGAGGTTGTGAGGATTCACAATTGTACAAATAGTGACGTTGAACACCCAGGGGGCTGAGGGTAGGGGCAACAATTAGTTGAGAAGGATATCGTCCATATTTGCTTTGACGCATTGTGAGGAAGTGGAACTTAAAACTACACAAATAGAGGGGCTGAGAGGTGGGGCTAACATGGTTTATTGGCACGCGTACTTTCTAATGTTCAGTACGTCTGTATACATCCTTAAATCGCATAGACCTATTGTCTGTGGTGTGTTCATTCCAATTTCTAAGACTGAGTGGTTTTCTTTATCTTTTGAACTAATAAATATAAAAGAAAATGTATGTTTAAAGTTCTGCTATATATATACATCAATGTCTCCTTGATTTTGTTTTGGATATATAACTGCAGCACAGTTGGGGCAGGAGAGTTCCAATGATCATATGCAGATCATACGTGATAGGTTAACAATCTGAAGCCAAGGGTTCAAATCCTGGGCTAGCCCTGCAAATTTTATACACTAAGAAAACTGATTTTTATTTCATTATTTTTGTCTTCATTTAAGACCCAAGAGGTATGCTTTTCTCTTCAGACTTTATAAAAATATTTTTTTGTGAAAGAGGGTATCAAATTGACAGGGCTTCAAATTGAAAAGGTTTTTGAAATGTTAGTCAATTTTCAATTTGAAGCCCTGTAACAGCATGTCTCATTTAATTCTATTGACCACATGACGGGGAGGTAAAACACAGTTTGTTTTTAGCTGCCTGTGTATCTCCCGGCATACTTTCAGTATGTGTAGCGACTCTAGAAATATCAGCTAAAGTTTCACATCTTAGTTCCGAGTTGATGAAATAGACGACAAAAATGTTGCGAAAGCCGGATCATCTTCACTGTTGCGTTATTGTTCTATATTAATATAATAAAAACATTTATTTCTCTTGTCCCTCTTGCATTAGTGCGGAGTGATTATTTGTTTTCTCTCTTTATATCATGTTCCACTCGAGCTTGGCCCTTGTGAATTGTGTGTCCCTACCACACGGCCAATGCTTGTATAGTATGGACGAGAGGTTATAAGGCAGTTTGGTTGACGATCTGTCGATGCATCTATATGTCCATCTGTTTTTAGGCAAAACGAATATGAATATGAACATGAATTGAAGAGCATGTACTTCAACAATTTCAATGAGACTTGGCACAAATAATGCGTTCATGGAGGAACATGAATTATTGATAATATAAAATGGAGTTGACTCCCAAATTAATGGAGTTACGTCCCTTTGTTCAAATACATTGCTTGCAATTACTTAATCTCAAGTAATGCATTGGTTTGACTGATATTGACTCATGCTTCTATGATAGCCTGCTGGTACTGCTGATTCCATAGAATTTAGCCTCTTTGTCATTATATGTAGATGGAAATGGTAGAGACAGCAACCATACATTGCAAATGTAATTGTAGTATAAAACGATGGATACACAAAGGTTACCACAAGTGCATTCAGGGTTCAGCACCGCCCCTTAGGACTAAGTCCAGGTTAACAGAAAATGAAATTCATTCCTGTATTTGAGATCCTAGCCCGACAACCAAACATGTGGTTAATTGGCATTTATTTACATTTGCATGGCATTGTCACTATATAGCCTCTTTGAAAGCTGTGTCGTTGATGGGACTTTAATTCCCATGCCGCACGAGACATAATTACCATGCCGCACGAGACACAATTCTTAGCGTATTAATTACAACACTGACCGGAACTACAATATCCAATGTAAATAAACATGACGGCTGCTGAAATATCGCTGGGCATTGTGAGATTTGATTAATGACATTGTAAATTTATGCGCAAAATAAAAAATAAAATAAAAAACACTTTTATCACAACGAAAACAAGACCAAGGTCTGCAATATCGTACAAAATGCACATCGGTTGAAGTCACCAATGCCGGCAATGGAAACAATTTTAACGCTCATGCAATTTATCAGAAATATCGTCTGTTACACTGCATTGATCAACAGGGGTTCGTTATAAATGTCTGAAATACACATATTCTATAGACCTACTGACACATATGTTACAGACCTACTGATATGAGTCACAGCACACACTCGTCATTTCAGACATGTGTAACGAACCTGTGCTCCGTCGCAAGATCACTCACTTCAAACGCTATCAGTTTCACGCGTCTCGGATCCACGGTTCCTCAGTTTCAGACGACATGTCAAATAACGATGCTTCATCGAATCTACCGACTGTTGTCGGGTTCCCATACAATCAACAAATACATTCACGCATGGATTCTTCACAAAATGAGCAAAGAGAAAAGTTCGAATTAACTTCCAAAAATAACTCTCTCGTGGAGGTCAAGGTCCCATTCACGGTGTTCACTGTATTTATCCGGGGGAAATCGAAACAATTTCAAATCTAACTTTGCAAGCAAACAACTTATAATGCGCTAGCGCGCATTATGTTGTTTGCTTGCACAGCTGTGTCATTCAAATAGATCATAAATACCATACAAAAACAGTTCAATGCTTAAATATTTACAGTTCCAAGTGTAATTGACTCAATAACCTTTGTTGAGCTCATTGTCATTATCACTCGATAAAGCAATTCTCGTGCGCGTAGTGATACATACACCGTGTACACATGTGTATGCAACAACCCGGGGGTTTCCATTGCTATTTTCGGAAGTAAACAGAAATACCGGGGATACCAGATTTGTACAATTCAAAAATTAGAAATGTATTCATGCAAAAAATACATTGTTGAAATGTATACACATATTGAAATTTATACACTCCGATGATTACTGCACCGACTGACAGGACGGCTGGATTTTTTAGTGTTTGTGTTCATTTATATACGTTTACTTTGATGGCATAGTGTAAACATTACCTAGAAATACGATAGTAAATCAATATAGGCCTACGGCAATTTTGCCGTAATATTTTCAACTGCACTCGATAAGCCTTGTAATAATGGTAATCACAGGACGTGTTCGATAACTTTACATGACCTATGTGTCATATGCCTGCATAAATACTGATAGTTAGATCACAACACACGAGCTTGGTTTTGCAATGATAAAAGTTAAAATCAAAATTATGAAATTACTCCGTGTGTTTGTGATTTTATAGACCGTTTCCGTGGAGTTTACAAAAACACAGGAGAGTTCCAAAACTGCGAGCCGTTGGTGCCATATTATAGCGTGCTGGAATTAAACGGGACATCTTTGGGTATTAAATTAACTGTTGAGAAAAACTGGTAATCGAATAACATTATTAAAACAGTTTACGAGTGCGAGTGAAATATTGAACGAGTCCATCAGGTTAAGCAACTTTGCAAATTGTGCTAAAAATAGCCGCATAGAGCCACTTTGAAGTAAGTATTAACGCTAATGAGTTATGATTACATGTTTAAGAGCAAACATGCAAACCAATGTGTTGTTTATGTTGAAGATATGCAGTACATTTTGTTCGTATAAGTCCTAGTTTGGTCGTATCATGTCACGGTGGCCTTCGAAGTGTGGCGCGAAGCGTGGCGCGAAGCGTAACCGTATCACACATCGGGCTTGAATGGAATAGTTGTAATCCTCCCGCGGAATATATTCTGATTAAAAGAACGCGTTTTATGTAATGAAAGAAAAAGACTATAAATATAAGGATTACCTTCTATTTAGTTTAGATAACCTGATTGTGTTCGTTTCTTCTTGAGGATTAACTTTCTATTGATTTAGGTTATCGGGTGATAACTACAATGGAAATCGGGTAAATTAATCATAACCGGATTCGCCGATTATTCAACTTACCCGAGTTCCATTGTAGTTATCACCCGATAACCTAAATCAATAGAAAGTTAATCCTCAGGAAGAAACGAACACAATCATGGATAAGCTCTTGGGTCTAGCCCCATAATTAGAGATTTATTTGACTAGAAGGACTTTTTGCTGCCTAGAATAACTTTTAATAAAAATAATTTGTCACGATTGCTTTAATGTCAAAGCGATCTTGTTAACAAGAAAATATATACTGTAGCAAGGCATTAAAGTTGTTTCAATCTGCGGATGATTACTGCAATGTCAACACGAAAGTGATGACGACAGATGCAAAAGCAATGAGCAATCTTAAGGTATTCTATGTATAATACACATTTTTATTAAGTTGAAAAATGGTCTGTTTTATTTTTCTACACTGTGTGTGCAGTCTTTTACCGCGTATTTTCCCAGTTTTTATGCATTTCATAAGTATATCCCATGGGGCCCCTTTTTGTTCAGAGTACAGTTAAATGACAAAAGCCTTCCATATGCAGACAGTTATGATTTTATTCACTTTTTGCAAACCATGTACTTTTATATACCGACAATTAGGCCAAAGAGTGTTGTATACAAGTATGACAATGATAAATCATTACAGAAATGCTGAAAACAAATTACATTCATTAGTATTCCATATTGACACAAAATTCGAATTTTTGTACTCAATTTTGCATGGGAAATATTGGAAATATATTCGGAGAACAATTGATTTTCTTATAAAATCTTATAACGATACGAAAAACGTAAAAAAATCTAAGTTTTACTCTCTGGATTTTGAAAAAAAGGTATAGACAGTGACGATCTCCCATGGGTTTGCCAATTTTGTCAATATTGACAGTTTTGATGTGTCAAAATAATTTGTCTTGATATCAAATAATCGAAAGTAATGTGCCCAGAGCACCATTATTGTCTTACTACATCATCTTAGAATACAAAAATATGAATATATTATAAATTTTATATAGATCTTGAGATGCAATCACTAAAAGGCAATCGCAAAAACAAAACACAAAGATACAAAAGTATAGAGGCTTACTAATAAAACACATTTTAACACACACGTGTAACAACAGGACGTACACACCATCCATATGAGGCACGGTGGTCTAGTGGTAGGACGCCGGGCTCGTGACCGAATGGTTGCGGCACTGTGTTTGTATCGTTGAACAAGATACTTTGCTCCGCTTGTTCCAGCCTACTCAGCTGTAAATGAGTACATGGTTAGGCAGTGCTAGAATTTTTGAATGCTAGCTGTGAGCGCCGAAATGGCAGCACTGCCTTTATGATCCTCAGGGAGATGAGAAAGATATTGGCTGAATGCAAAGGCCCTATTCCGTCTTTTCGTATTGCAGAGTTATCTGCTCTTGTGCGCAGGTATTGATTGTTACGTCATTTGTTTCTGTGAGAAAATTACGTCGTTTTCTCAAAAAATGATGACGTTACTCTCGCAAACAAATGAGGTAACAATCAATACCTGCTAGCAAGAGCAGATAACTCTGCAATTCGCAAAGACGGAATTGCCACGGATAATAATTTGTGAACCGCTTCGAGACGACCTACCAGCTGCTAGATTGTGATAAAGCGGTATATAAGAACCACGAAATATTATTATCATTGCTTATCTCGATGAAAAGGATCATTTTTGTTTACAAACGTCACTGTGATATAGAAGGGTTCCAAATATCAATTTACTTTCTATTACAGCAGTGGTCCGATCACTCACAATGTTATACAGAATAAAACAGATATAAGCTATATTACACAGCACTTTCATTTTCATTGATAATAAAATAATTCAGCGTATGAATGGAATAGAAGGCAAGATGTAAAGTATACATTGCATCAACAATACATATAAAAAGACTCAAATATATGTAAACATAATGGTTGATGATAGCGAGCAAGAGTCAAAAGAGTAGGTGGACGAGGGCACAAAGACATAAATTAAATAGTAACCTATATGCAGGCATCCTTTATAATGAGCCGACATTTCCCACTTTTAGATTCTTGATAATTAACAGCATTAAAAGTCATTACATTGTAGACTAAAGTTCAAAAAAATATACACTTGTACATGTATGGTGTATTTATAGTTATTACCTTTCATGTCACTATAC